ATCAGACACAAAAACATACTTTCCCTGAACTAATATAATTTTTTTTCAATGGATTCGGATTTTTGACCCCCCCCCTAAGTAAATGGGGTAGTCGCAATCTGGAAAATAGGGTCCCCATAGTCTGGTGGGGGAGAGCAATCAAAAATTTGGACCCCTAAATAGTAATTTTATTTTTTGTGTACTTTGCCATATCTTGAGAAATTTTTAAGTGAATTAAAAAACTTTTGCACACAGTTATGAAATTTATTTATCCAAGGCAATAAATATTGGAATAAATGTTACACGCAAAATATAACTTTTAGTAAATATTTATTGCTTTTTATTATTTTATAAAATAATAGTTCAAAACTTCAATAAAATAAATCAAATAAAAAAAAACAGTTCAATTCTTTAAAATAAAATTTCGTTCTTTTATCACTTAGAATTAGACCATGCATGGAGGGTGAAGCATTCTAGAGAGACAAAAATTAATGTGTGTGGGAGGCTACAGGCAAGGGGAAGAAAGCAGGTCCTTTCATTAATATATGCCCTTTGCCTAGAATAATACTCTATGAGGAGAGTGACATTCTAAAAGAAAAGAATAGTGTGGACAAGGGGGATACTGCACACGGAAGAGATTGTGCTTTTTTTAGGAGGCTTTAAGGTACCTAAGTAGAAGACCTACACTAACCTTCAAAATTGACAGAATTCAAGAAATTCAGTTCTACGGGTAACAGATCTTATAGGAATTAAGTAAAACGCTAAGAAAAAAAGTATCAGAAAAAGTTTTGAACTAGAATCCGTAACGAAAACTATTTCCTAAAATTTTGAAGAATTAAATAAATTTGTATAATATTTCAGTGTGTAATAAGTAACTGTAAATTTACGGAAAGCATAAATTTTTTTTTAAATGTTATGGTGGTTAATGCAGCAAAACTATTTCTAAAATTTCTTGATTGTAAGAAACTTAAATCTTTAAGAGACTTAGATTGTGCCATTTTACACTCGAGAGTAACCCAATTATGATGAGTTTCACTACTTCCAGGGTTCCATAAAAATGTCTAAAAAGGGGTTTCTTGTAAAATCTATGTTCTCAAGTTCAGTATTCTAATTCAATCCATTTACAAGTAAACTGGGGTTCTATTGGGGGGGAAATATGTCAAAGGGTTTCCTCCAACCGGAAATATTTGGAACCACTGCTGTAACGTATTATGCATAGCTGCCAACTCTACTGGATTAGGCTAGTTTCTCCTGGTCTACTGGTTTAATTAAAATTCTCCTGGTCTTTGTACATTTTAGAAAATTCCCTAAAATTGAGTAAATTTTCTAAAAAAAAATCCTTATTGAAATAGAATTTTTGTAGATATTATAGCCTGCTTGAATATTTAAATAAATATTTAAGATGCATAATGATGCGAACTTCATTTATAAAGATTAGTTCAAAACTTTTTTTTTCTTCAAAAATGTTCATTTTATTTTTATTTAGAACTCTCTTTTTAAATTAATTAAAAAAATCTCTTTACTATCCTTGATGAATTAAATGCCTAATAATATTCAAAATTATGAGTAAACATAGTACATAAGATTTCAAGTATGTTTAATGTCAATTATAACAGGAAAATATTGCAGTTTTACTTTTTTGATGACTATAAAAGTCCCTAAAATTCCGTGTGTGTAAAAAATTTAATACATTATGCAGCAATTATCGTAAAATTTATATTTCGTAAAATCTACTGGATTTTTTCCTATCTGTGTTGGCAGCTATGATAATGTCTCTTCCAATTTGTTACAAGTCAGACAAATGTTAGTTGCAAAATTAAGAAATTCAATCTGAATCAATGAGCTTTGAAGAGGAGATGACTAGCAAGGTATGCTTGTTGCATATGATTTTAAATGAACTTAGATTCTGTGATAATCACATGAAACTTTTTCAAATTATTCTTTTTATGTTATAGGTATCATCAGATAAAGATGAAAGAAAAAAGAAACCAAATACGAGGAGAAGAGGAAGGAAACGAAAGCAAATTGATGATATTCCAAAAATAAAGTTGATTGCAGAACTAGTATTTATGTTATTTAATGTTTTCTTTTAGCCAATCCCTCCTTTATTGTTTTATCACTCATTTATTGTATTATTACTCATTTATTGTATTATTACTCATTTATTGTATGTCACCAATCACTCATTTATTGTATTATCTCCGCTCTTCAAAATTAGGCAACCCTTAATGTGCGCCAGCTGCAAACAGTGAATTCTTTTCACTTTATCATTTGCTATTGTACCTTTCATTACTCTAGCTAATTAAATATATTTTAAATTTAAAAGCTTCTGTTTTCCCAGCAAAATGTCTCAAAAAGGACAAATTTTTCAATCAAAAGAGAGAAATATCATCAAATGTATGAAATATTTAATGTTAAAAAAGTGCATGTAAAGATTGCAAAATAAATATTTTTTCATGTGATCGCCAAATAACAACCGTGTTCCGGATTGTTCCCATCCTTCTACCAAAAATAGCGAAATAGTACTGTCAGATACTACATGATGGAGGCGGAGCTCAGTGCCAACTCCTGGTGAACGAACTATACGTCTTATGATGACAAATAATCTAGTTTCTAACGTTGTTTATTGTTTTATTATGACTACTAGCCATTTTTAAATGATAAAGAAAGTATTATAGAATTAGCAAGTACAAATTAAAATGAATTGAAATTTACTAGTACAAATTAAATTTTGTTATTTTGTAAGTTTGATACTAAGTTGCAAATAAATAAAAAAAATTAATGAAAAATAATTAAATAAACAAATTAAAGCAACAGACGATAATTTTAATTCTGAAATCCAAAAAACTTCCATGACTTTTGTGGGGTAAAATTTTTGTTACTTTTTGATTATTGATTTCTTAAAAATAAACCTTTGCTTTGTTTTTATAATATTCCATACAGTTTTGCAAAGTATAGATTATACATCTTATTATTAAATACCTTATCTCAAATATTCCTTTTAATTAATGAATTAAAGGGAATATTTCAGAATTAAAAGGAGTATTTCAGAATTTATAAGTGAATGAACACTTTTGGGAGCCACTGTAAAGATAAAAATTTATTGATATATAATCATCTGGAATGGTTTTCTTTTTCTTAATGAAAATATATTAAACAGTACTTATCCAAGGTTTTATTGGTCATTCTGTTTTTACCATTTTGTAGGTAAACTTTGAGCAAAAACTTTTCAACGTAGCACCTTTAAAAAAAATTCATTCAATAAAAACAGCATATTTTACAAACTAAACATATTATTTTCTCCACATGTTTAAATTTTTTAAAAATTAATGTTGTACCAAAACATTAAAAAGAAAAAACAAAACCTTGCCAAATTGTTAAAATAAATTTAGTCTACTTATTTTTTCAGGATTATATGTTAAAATAATAACATTTTAAATAAAATACTCATAATATTGACACTTTTCTTGTACTCAACTTACACTTTATGGGAAGAAAAAAATACACTGACCTGGTTATTTCAAGATTTTTACCTGGTTAGGGCTGACCCTGAACTTTAAAGCATGCATAATTTTTTTTTAATCTGGAACCATTTTCTTTAAAACTTAAAATGTATTTCCAAACTCACAATTTTCTCTTCAAAGAATTATTCAAGCAATATTTTGTTTGACAAGAAAATTTTCATACTATTAGTATTCTTTTTCTGCCTGTTTTAGTTCATAGCTTGTAATAACATCTTTTCAGGTGTTACTAACATTTTTTTTATTGAGGCTATAAAGTAGAAA